CAAGCCCATGTTGTCCACAGCAACAGTACCTGATGTACATTTTGGAAGGCCCTGTATTTTTCTACTGAAATAACGTTGAATAACTTCCAGCATATCGTATTCTTTGAGGGTTAATAGCCCCCAGACATTACATCCATAGAGTCCGCATGGGAGTATCACTCGTTCCCAGATCCTTTTTGCTGGGATTGGATTCATACCTCCAAACTATAGTCCAGTATCATTATTACTATTTATTAACATTTTCACAAGCTAATTGTGTTCGTTCTAAGGAAGACTTATCAGAGCTTATCCTGACACCTGCATATATTATAGATTGCTGAAGTGGAACACACATACTGCCCAAGTACAGTGATTGAGAGCAGATAAATTTACGCTGCACATCAAATATTAGAACAGCGCTTTTCGTGACATTGTACTTAAGCTGCCATTTATATGCATACTGATTTACAACATTGAGAAGATCTTGAAGGCCTGTTGGTGAGCTACTAAACAGTGTTGTATCATCTGCCAAGAGCTGGCCTGGAGTATGTGCCCACGGCAGATTTAGTCCTTGCTTAGAGCGTTCCAGCTCACATAACAGATCATTTATATATAATGTAAAGAGCCAAGCAGATATAACTCTGCCTTGACCAACTCCTTGGCGTACATGAAACAAGTCTGATCTATAGCCTGCAAAGCTGACATAGGAGTACGTAGTATTCGCCATGTTTTACCCGTGATACCAAGGTCATAAAGTTTTAGAAAAAGGCCATCTAGCCATACCCTGTCAAAGGCTTTTCATTATCTAGAAATGCACAGTAGACTGGAGAACTTCTTTCATTGTAATATGCTATTGCTTCTAATAGTGTGAGGGCCGCAGTGTCTGCACCTGCATTCTTGCGAAAGCCAAATTGGAGAAGATGTGGGAAATTACAGTTTTTAGTTACCCAGGATTCGATTCTGTTGAGTATGAGTCTTTCCAAAAGTTTACCAAAAGCAGATGTCATAGTGATTCCCCTGTAATTAGCAGGATCCGACTTGCTTTTACCATGACCTTTATGGATTGGGAGGATTTGACCTATGTTGTACTCACATGGTATATATTCATAGTGCACAATTGCATTGAATAAAACCATGAGATGGTGATGAATAGATATACCTGCTTTTTTAATATGCTCGTTTGAGATTCCGTCATACCCTGGTGATTTACCTGTTTTAAGAGATTTGACAGTATCCATCAATTCTTCAGCAGTGAAGGGTTTTGAAAGGGGAGATGCTATAGCTACACCATTATTGTAATAAGAATCAGTGCTATCTAATACCTCATTTTCAAGGTCATTAACACGTTGTTTGACGTAAGAGGAAAATAGAACATCATGTTTCAGATCAGTATCCGGGGCAGCTAGATTTCTGTAATATTCACCAAACATATCACATATATCCTTCGGGTCATTAGATGATTTATCTGAATAGACAAGTTTTTGAGTATGACCTTTGTTTTTACGATAACGTTTAGCTACCCTGAAGTATTCATGAACATCAACCTCAGCAGCTTCATAAACTTCTTTGTATCTATCATCTATCAGCTTTTGTTTTGAGATCCGATGCTGTTTTCTAAATAACTGTTTGGCTTCTTTGTATCTAGCAAAAAAGATGTTGCTTTTAGCGCGAGTTTTACCATTTTCCTTCCATTCTTTACGGCACTTGCGCATACTATTGTGTAATGATTTAAGATTATCCTTTTTCCAGTACGGTTTCAGCCTAGGTTGGAATTTTGATGAAGGAATGTACATTATTGCTGCATTTTGAAGGGCTGAGGTGATGTATTCATTGTAATATTGAATAAAGTCTACTGGCCTCTGGTAGTCTGAAATTGCAAAAACAGTATCACGAAGCCAGTTTTCAGTTTCAAAACGATAAAGCATTAGGTCTGTCTCAGTTGCTTTCCGCCACTTAAGTTTATCAACTCCATATTGACTAATAGGTGTTGTTACAGTTAGACAGGCAAGAATAGGCAAATGATCTGATACAGAGTAAGATACATTTGTATCAATGACAAATCCGACAACATTAGGTGTAAAATCAACATTTACAAAAATGTAATCTAGCATACTCTTAATATTTCCACTTTTGGTGAAATATGTATATCTAGTGACGTCATCGATGGGGATCACAGAGTACAGACATCTCTCATTCAATACTCTGCTTAAGTACTTGGAACGCAGTTTATCAGGAGTGCGTAAGTCTGTGTTAAAGTCACCAAGTATGATAGTCTGTCCATGTTGTGGATACACATCATATAATTGTATGACATAGTCAAGCGCTTCACAATAAACACTGTCCAGCACATTACTAGATGGAAGATATGTTCCTATAATAAAAACAGGAACATTGTTCATAGTCAATTTGATACTGATCGTTCAATCATCATCTGGAGTGTTTATCACAGACGAGACACAACAGTCCCATTTACGAACAAATATTGCTACGCCTCCTGAGCCTCTACGTCTTGGTAGTTCTGATTTGTCACATTTGGAATACACATCAAATTCATCATGGATCCCATTTAAGTAGGATTCGTTTTGTCTGTTTAGCCAGTGTTCAGAAATGAACATTATATCACAACTTTCAAGTTTATCAGCAAGTTCAGTAGCAGCATGCATAACGCCACGCACATTCCATGTAGCAAGTCTGATCATAAGAAACAAGAGATAGGTCGCAAATAGTCGGGATCTTGATTTACTTGTCATGTTTAAGATCTTGACTGTTCATCATCACTGTGTACATACCATCTTTTGCTGGGAACCCACTCTCTACAGTTGACATTCTCTGGCCAGAATGTATCGTCTTCAAGCATGACCTTGGCACCCTGGTTAGGAACATGGATTCGTATGGTGTACGTTGGGTTATATGTCTTCCAGTGCTTCAGAAGTAACATAGTATAGAGAGCTCCGCGAACGGAATATCGCTGTGAGGAGCTTGTGTATGTAACCTCTCTGTCGCCTTTTGATGAATTGAGAAAAATCAGTTTTCGTCATTTACGGCATGCTATTTTGGCATTGAATACATACGTATATAACTCCATTTGATATGTAGTTATGTCGTTAGGATATAAAGCAGTATTTTGTACGCTCACAGTTTCCGTAAAGCTTATAAATAAAAAAAATCGTCGCACAGTACTTTTATCGGTTTACGATAAAAAGCGGAGAAATTTACTGTTTTTCAACGCAGAATAAATTCTCGTACAACACTAAGACGTGTCTTTTTTTAAAACCGATTTAAATATTTGCAGTTAAATTTACACCATCAAATAGGAAATTGCGTAATTTTATAGCCAGAGGTAGATCCAGTGCCGCGTGAGCGCAATTCTCGCACAACCTTCACTTTTCCGATCTTACGAAAATGTGCGTCAGAAACTCGGCATTCAGAGGGTTAAATAAAAATTCTACAAATAAATTACCTTGGTTAAATCTTTCCAAAAGGCTATCGAACTCCTGAGCAGGTACAGATTCGATGTCCCTCGATCATCTTGTTTTCTGTTGCCCAAGCTTTGAACACCTTTAGGTCACTCTTAGTCTTCCAGATCGTGTTTTTATTTTTGTTTTCATCAATGAACTTGTCAGTATATTCATCGGTTACCTTTAGGAATCGCGATGACGACGTACGTTGAATCAGCCGGTTTGTCACCTGTGTCATTTCTGTCAACATCGCTAGTTGGGCATTTGTTTTCGTCGTTCACAACTTCCAAGTTCAAGCGGGAACTTATTAGGTGGCGCGCGTGGTCATGAAGGATATTATGTGCGCCTTCAAGCACATTGTTATATTTATTGCTTTGCTTCCAAAAATTATTTTAATCTACGATATTTCAACCAAAATAAATGCTAAAAGTGTACTGTTACAAAGATAAACAAACGAATCAGGCCACGCGCAAATTCCATATTGGCCCGGCCGTTTTGGCCCTGCTGGACTGTACGTATGATGCAGGCCGATTTAGTTGATTAATGAAAAGCAACATCAACGCTGAGGTGATCCACAGGACCATGTAACTAATAATAGTAACAAAAAAGCGCGCCTCGTCTATGATTTTTTTTGCGAGTTTTCTTTTATTGTTATTATTAGTTAGATCTACATGGTCCTGTGGGTGATCGTAACTCCCATGCATTACCATAGACTTACGACAGTCTTGAGGTTGTTTAGAACAACGGCAGCCAGTATATGTTTTTTAAAATCGCGACGACATCACAGTGCGGGACTGAGCGGTATGCAAAGCCAGCTGACGGCCAGGCATAAGGCTGAGACGACTCTAAATTTACTACCCGGATACCCGACCCCCGGAACCCACTCTAGGTCTCAAGTAAGGTACAAAATGTTCAAATGGGAAGGGTTTTTTTACTAGCAAAATGTATTTATATATAGTTTAAAACGATCTGATCGTGCATATATTGAAGTTGACTGAAGCTTTGTCTTTACTGAAATAAAAATCAGAAGGGATGTGTGCACAGTCAGAAAGAAATGCGAACATCAGCGACGTGTAACCATGAAATTTTATTGTTAATGTCATAGAAAAATATCTATGTAACTATATAGACTAACCACCGGTCTTGGTAGTCCTGTGAGTACCCGGGTCCTACTCAGTACCCATCCAACTCGAGTATCCGAGTTACCCGTCCCAGCCATACCAAGTAACCATGAGGGTTAATATGTACGTCAGAAAATTAACTCGACATGCATCCACTAGATCTAGATCTACAGATCGAGGGAAAACATCAGCTAATTTCAAAACGATGAAATGAAGCGGATCCGCAGTTTCTGCACTTACATCCTGTAGACCTAACCTCATGTTTATAGATGACCGCTCGCCCACTCAAAAGAAATAGAGGAGATAAGAACACCAAATTAAATCAAACTTATTTATTGTGCTGTAGATTCCCTAAACAGTGACTCACCACAAAGGCGAGCATTCGACGACTTCGCTTTGGTACGATTTGGATTGGTCCCGTTTTGAACCAGAGACGTGACAAATTTACCCAAGAACGACTACTCGCGAAGATCATTTTGTGTGTCACGGTCTGGAAAGGTGTGTTAAATAGCGACGATCGTCAACATCATCTGAGCTCGGAAGTTAAATATTTCAGAATTCTCGCCGGATGTGGTGGAAATATGGAATCAAGGCCGTTTAATTTCAACGTGGGTGTGTTGGGACACGTAGACAGTGGGAAAACCAGTCTGTCAAAGGCGTTGAGTTCTGTTGCAAGTACTGCATGTTTTGACAAAAACCCACAAAGTAAAGAAAGAGGTATTACCCTTGACCTGGGCTTTTCGTCATTTTCAATACAACTAGATGATGATTCAAAAGAAAAGTTTGGTGGACACGACCGAGTTCAATACACACTTGTCGACTGTCCTGGCCATGCAAGTCTTATCAGAACAATTATTGGAGGTGAGGTTTATTGCACGCCTCGTGGCGCAGTGGTCTATTTTTGGGGTTACAGGCAAAACGTCACCGATTGGCGAAAACGTCATCTCGCCTAAAGCGATAACGGCTACTATTTCCTGCCGTAAACGGCACAGTATTTTTTTTTTACTTTGGTACTGAAATACATGAAATTAAACTCACGTGGTCACTTTCAAACACAAATAATTGTGAAATGTTAATCGCCTTAAAACAAGTTTACATTAGAAATTAGCCTCTACTCCAAGTTACTCACTGACTGATTGGGAGGCGCAACTAAACTTCTCGTTGAAACATCACATACTTTGAAGTTTTAAGTACCTTTACTCAATGTAACTCAATGTCAAGCTGAAACTACCGGTATACCATATATTTAATATTAATTTTGATTAAGTTTGAAATAAATTGTAATTTAACAGAGATATTCCACATATATCTCCCCTTTCTGCCGACATCCGACATCACAAGAATGTTGCTCCAGAAAACAGACTGTGTCCCCGCCCAAGGAAAACATATATACGACAAAACAACATAATAAAGCATGTTAATAAAGCATATATACTACCACATAAATTGTTCTTATCGTTAATAAAAATAGGTGCTGTTTTTGCCTGACATTTAGTAGCCGTTTTCACCCAAAAATCATAGACGTTTTGCTGAGGTGTTGTTTTAGCCTGCACCCCACCAATTTTTGTAATGCCTTATATGCCTTATCATGATGATTCCTTTGGAGAAGTTTTGGGCTGTTATTGGTAACTGAATTGAAATCAGCGTTAGAAATTGACATTATTCCTACAGACCTTGGCAAACTGCCAAATAGTTAACGTATCATAAGGACAAGTAGAAATTTGCCCTTTTTAAGGTTTTTCTACTGTCACCACCATTTTTTCATGTTAATTTTGAAAAGTAATTCCGTAAAGTATTCAAATATCTTCTACAAGAAATATGACATTATGTGAAAGAGCCAATTTTATAAACAACAACACATAGATGACAGTCCCCATGGACATCACTCGACACACAGAGATGACAGTCCTCATGGACATCACTCGACACACATAGATGACAGTCCCCATGGACATCACTCGACACACATAGATGACAGTCCCCATGGACATCACTCGACACACATAGATGACAGTCCCCATGGACATCACTCTACACATACAGCTGACAGTCCTTATGGACATCACTCGACACATACAGCTGACAGTCCTCATGGACATCACTCGACACACATAGATGACAGTCCCCATGAACATCACTCGACACACAGAGATGACAGTCCCCATGGACATCAATCGACACACAGAGATGACAGTCCCCATGGACATCACTCGACACACATAGATGACAGTCCCCATGGACATCACTCGACACACATACAGCTGACAGGCCCCATGGACATCACTCGACACACATAGATGACAGTCCTCATGGACATCACTCGACACACATAGATGAAAGTCCCCATGGACATCACTCTACACATACAGCTGACAGTCCCCATGGACATCACTCGACACACATACAGATGACAGTCCCCATGGACATCACTCGACACACATAGATGACAGTCCCTATGGACATCACTCGACACACAAAGATGACAGTCCCAATGGACATCACTCGACACACATACAGCTGACACTCCCCATGGACATCACTCGACACACATAGATGACAGTCCCTATGGACGTCACTCGACACACAAAGATGACAGTCCCAATGGACATCACTCGACACACATACAGCTGACACTCCCCATGGACATCACTCGACACACATAGATGACAGTCCACATGGACATCACTCGACACACATAGATGACAGTCCCCATGGACATCACTCGACACACATACAGCTGACACTCCCCATGGACATCACTCTACACATACAGCTGACATCCCCATGGACATCACTCGACACACATAGATGACAGTCCCCATGGACATCACTCTACACATACAGCTGACAGTCCCCATCGACATCACTCGACACACATAGATGACAGTCCCCATGGACATCACTCGACACACACAGATGACAGTCCCAATGGACATCACTTGACACACACAGATGACAGTCCCCATGGACATCACTCTACACATACAGCTGACAGTCCCTATGGACATCACTCGACACACATAGATGACAGTCCCCATGGACATCACTCGACACACATAGATGACAGCCCCCATGGACATCACTCGACACACATACAGCTGACAGTCCCCATGGACATCACTCAACACACATACAGCTGACAGTCCCCATGGACATCACTCGACACACATACAGCTGACAGTCCCCATGGACATCACTCTACACATAGATGACAGTCCCCATTGACATCACTCGACACACATAGATGACAGTCCCCATGGACATCACTCTACACACATAGATGACAGTCCCCATGGACATCACTCGACACACATACAGATGACAGTCCCCATGGACATCACTCGACACACATACAGATGACAGTCCCCATGGACATCACTCGACACACATAGATGACAGTCCCCATGGACATCACTTGACACACATAGATGACAGTCCCCATGGACATCACTCGACACACATAGATGATAGTCCCCATGGACATCACTCGACACACATAGATGACAGTCCCCATGGACATCACTCGACACACAGAGATGACAGTCCTCATGGACATCACTCGACACACATAGATGACAGTCCCCATGGACATCACTCGACACACAAAGATGACAGTCCCCATGGACATCACTCGACACACATACAGCTGACACTCCCCATGGACATCACTTGACACATACAGATGACAGTCCCCATGGACATCACTCGACACACATAGATGACAGTCCCCATGGACATCACTCGACACACATAGATGACAGTCCCAATGGACATCACTCGACACACAGAGATGACAGTCCTCATGGACATCACTCGACACACATAGATGACAGTCCCCATGGACATCACTCGACACATACAGCTGACAGTCCCCATGGACATCACTTGACACACATAGATGACAGTCCCCATGGACATCACTCGACACACATACAGCTGACACTCCCCATGGACATCACTCGACACATACAGATGACAGTCCCCATGGACATCACTCGACACACATAGATGACAGTCCCCATGGACATCACTCGACACACATAGATGACAGTCCCAATGGACATCACTCGACACACAGAGATGACAGTCCTCATGGACATCACTCGACACACAGAGATGACAGTCCTCATGGACATCACTCGACACACATACAGCTGACAGTCCCCATGGACATCACTCTACACATACAGCTGACAGTCCCCATGGACATCACTTGACACACATAGATGACAGTCCCCATGGACATCACTCGACACACATACAGATGACAGTCCCCATGGACATCACTCGACACACATAGATGACAGTCCCTATGGACATCACTCGACACACAAAGATGACAGTCCCAATGGACATCACTCGACACACATACAGCTGACACTCCCCATGGACATCACTCGACACACATAGATGACAGTCCCCATGGACATCACTCGACACACATAGATGACAGTCCCCATGGACATCACTCGACACACATACAGCTGACACTCCCCATGGACATCACTCTACACATACAGCTGACAGTCCCCATGGACATCACTCGACACACAGAGATGACAGTCCCCATGGACATCACTCGACACACATAGATAAAAGTCCCCATGGACATCACTCTACACATACAGCTGACAGTCCCCATGGACATCACTCGACACACATAGATGACAGCCCCAATTGACATCACTCGACACACATAGATGACAGTCCCCATGGACATCACTCGACACACATACAGATGACAGTCCCCATGGACATCACTCTACACATACAGCTTACAGTCCCCATGGACATCACTTGACACACATAGGGACTGTCATCTATGTGCTGCCAGCTGTATGTGTAGAGTGATGTCCATACATTTAGTTTACTTTATATAACACTTTAAACATACTGTATTATTTAAATACAACACAAGATAGAGATTATAACCATTTAACTCACCTGATTTAATATTATCTCTTTATGCTTTGCTGGTCTGAGCAGTTCTGTCAGTTCATGTGCTGAGAGAGTATGCAGTGTAATCAAAGCATGCAGTTTAACAATAGGTGTTAGCTTGGCCAATCAGCAAATGAAGCTTCTGGCCATGGGGCAATTAGTAGGTGAGACAGGTCAGATACACTTTGTTATAGCTGACTGAAACTAACAACTAGTTATATATAATAAATATATGTAAAAACCTAAAATGAAATTAAAACAAATATATACAAAAAACTACTCATTACGAAAAATGACAAGCTGCGGTTGTATTTGTTGAAGTGACATTTATTCCATTATCAATCACTTCCTCAATCAATCACCCTGTAATAAAATATAACAATATATAACAGTATATACTATACATACAATAGCATTCAAAGATACGACTGCATATTAATTATATCCTAGTTTGAGCAGTCACATTAATCCACACATGCAACACATACAGTTACACATCACTAGTTCATTGTAGATAACTTATATTATATACAATTTACAGAACTTTCAAATCAGTGATACATATATAAAATGTCTCTTATCATAACTGAATATGTCAGTTACACACTATATAGTTAGAAGGATACCATTAGCCGTATGGTGTCATAAATATATACTTATTATCACTAAGAGTAGGAACATATATAAAATGCTACCACGTGGTGTTAAATTATAACACATAGTTAATACATGTACATAGAAATTCATTCATAAGTGAGTGATGAAATAAAGGATTTATACATACCCTGTGTGTGACACCGGGGTGTGTCTATAAACCCACATCATAAAGGATTATTGCATTCCTATAAAAGTAAATATAATGTAGTGATTGGTGCTTCCACACTCGTACATTGGGTTACATCGGATTGGCGACCCGATGCTGC